AAAATGGAAGATGTTATCATTAGTAGCAGTACTGCTCCAAAAAGAAACAGAAATATTGCCTTTACCTGGTGCTACTAGTGTTGTATGGAAGTATTTTAGTTTTCCTGCTGTTGATGGTAAAATTTCTGAGTGCTTGAATAATCTCCAAAAGGCTCATGCAGAAATTTCAAGATATTAGAGCCTATTAGCTTAGATATATAAGATATATAATCCTTTGGCATGGTGGAACACAAATTTCTTTTGTTATCCAATAATAGCTAGGAAATATTTATGTATACCGGTGGCATCAGTTCCCTCTGAATGTGTATTTATAGTACTGCTGGGAATATAGGTACTAAAAAAAGAGCTTGTCTACATCCAAAAATGTTCTTCTAGCTGAAAACCTCAAATATTCATTTACCTTTCATCCTTTTGCCTATTTTGTTACATTAAATAAATATATTAAAATTAATTGTTAATATCGTGATAGTATCACTATCGTTAAAATTTTAAGAACTATCAATCGTGATATGATAGTAGCACTATCGCCCAGCACTACTAGCAATACCTACCTCTATGTCATCTTTACGAGATGCTTCTTTTATAGTTGGCTTGCCTTTTTTCCTCATAGCCTTCTGTAATGCTTTACCTCGATCCAAAAGGTCTAGTAATGATTATTGATTAACAAAGATGCTACATAATAACAAAGATGTAAGGTAATACCTCTTGATTCTTCACTCTCATCATTAACATTCAATGTCAGGTCTAAAGCCTTCTCTCTTATAGTATCAGATATATCCATGAGAGTAGAATACAAATCATCATTTCTTTCAGCCATTTTTTGTAGCATTAACATAATGGGCGTGGTCAGACCTAAGCAATATGCCGCCTCCCGGCCGGATCCGACCCGATGCCGGTTGAATCTCGGCCCCGATACCGGCGGAATCTCGGCCCTGATATTTGTCCCCGACCCCGGAGTGTCCTTCTGGGCTTCCATAGATATTAGGCATGGCACCAGACTCTTATTCGGTAAATTAGAGTCTGGCCAGCGAGACTAATGATCATAGATATACTACACAGACCGGGATTGGAAACAGATCACGTGAGCGCATTACTTACTAATGACCCATCCTTGTTGTTAATAACTAGCAATTTTTGTAGATGCAGAACGTAGAGAGAGGTCATCATTAACTTCCACCAGCAGTTCAGCTTCTTCCTTGTTTTATGAGATGCAAGAGAGGCTGGAGAACACTGCACAAAAGAGAAAAAGTTCACCGATGGCCATTTTATTTGTTAATAACTATTAATAAACTGTAATGATAACCATAGCAACGACAACACGGATCATGCACGGAATAAAATTAAAACGGGGAAGTTTCCAATCCCGGTCTGTGTAGTATATCTATGCTAATGATCCTGCATGCTAGCTAGCCAGAGGAGGT